CCCCTGCTGGCCTACTGCATCCCCACCGCCCTGTGAGTGCCAGGACCTCTTGCTGCAGGAGTTCAGTTCATTCTTCTGCCTGTGCTGACCTCATCACCCCTCCTCCAGGTCACACTGACAGTTTTTGTGTGTGACTGGTTCTGGGGAAATGAGAAGCAGCTTCTGGGACCTATGCTGGCCTCTTTTCCTCTCTGGGCCTCAGTTTCCCCAGTTGTCGCAGTGGATCAGACTCTGTGGTGTTCTTTAAACTGGAGGTGCACCCACACCCCCACAGTGTCCCTGGCCCAGCCAGCATCAGGGGGGCAAGCCTAGCACTGACCTTCCTCTCAGGGCTCTGCCCCTGCAGCTGGACCTTCTCACGTGCTGCACACTGTGCTGTGTCTCTAAGCTCAGGCCCTACATGAGTGGAGGCGGCCTCAGTGGCCTGTGCGGGTCGGATTAGGAGGATGCCCTGAGCAGCACTGGCTCCATGGGGCACGCCAAGTGCCTGGCAGTGTGGCCACATGGCCTGCACCCCATGCACTCCTATGCGGCTGGGTGTGAACTCCAAATGCTCCTCTTGCATCTTTTTGCCCATGGAAAACAAACACACTGAGCAGCCAGGGAGCAAGCGGTGAGGAACAGCGCTGGCTTGTCATTGCAGCTGCCAAGCTCTGCCACCCCCTCCCCATTCCCCGGGACCTGCAGGAGAAGCACTGGACCCGGACCCAGACAGGCCTGGCCCTCCCGGCACACTGGGCCTGGGTAGCCTGGGCCCCCTACCCTCAACCTCCTCCGGATCCAGTATTCATGGGCCACTTTCAGGCACAGAATCACAACCACAGTGTCTGTACTCGGCCTTCACTCGGCCGTGTGGGTGGACAACCTGTTCCATCCAGTGTAGCTGTGAGTGGAGGCCAGACCGCCGGTCTGAAGGCCAGTGTCACCCCTGTGCCTGCCTAGGTGTCCCGGGAGCACCTGGTGGCTGGGGAGTGACACCTGATGTCCTGCTCACTGGCCCATTGGCTCTGCCACACCAGCTGTGTGGCTATGGACAGGTCCTCCAACCTCTCTGGGCTCCAGCATTCACCTCAGTGAGAGGAGCCTAGGCTGGCCCCATAAGATGGGGTGAGTTGACATGTGCTGTGGGCAGCAGAGGGCCTGGGAGGTCTGAGTGCTGGTCACACCAAGCTCTTCTGGCCCTTCCTTCCCAGTGGGCTCTAGGATCCCCATAGTCCATGGTTCTGCTGCGCCTGCCGGGGAGCAGAGCCCCACACCCCACGGGGAAGGAGCCGGCTGCTTCCGGCCAACCTCAGATTCATGGCTTTTAATTTAGAATTTAATCAATGTGGCTTCTCTCTTGAGGGCTGGATGCTCCACTGTGGGAGTGAGTTGTGTGATTTGTGAGTGGGGCAGGCAGGGGGCCCATGGTGCCCTCTGCCTCGGCCCTACCTTGACCTTGCTCTGCTTTGCCTGCAGCCAGCAGGCGTCCTGGTCATGGAGGACTGCAACGTGCACTCGGCTGCCAGCATCCTGGCCTCGGTGAAGGAGCAGGAGGCTCGCTTTGAGCGGCTGACACGGGCACTAGAGCAGGAGCGGCGCCATGTTGCCTTGCAGCTGGAGCGTGCCCAGCAGCCTGGTGTGGGCAGTGGTGGCGTGGGCAGTGGGCAACCCTTGCCGATGGCCTGGCAACAGCTGGTCTTGCAGGTAACAGCTCAGTGACTCAGGAAGGGTGAAATGGTCAAGTGGGAAAACAATCAAGGGGCCCTGGTGGGCCACATGCCAGCACGCATTGGCTTATTGCCAGACCTCCTGGGGTCTCTGGGGGAGAAAAGTGAGATCCCCAAGGGACTAGAACTCCCAGGTGGGTGTGCAGGGCACCATGCAATGAATGGGCAGGACACAACCTGACCCTCAGAACAGCACCCTCCCCTTGAGTGAGCCCCCAGAACCCAGGCAGCTGAACAGGGTCTATTCTGGGCACCCCAGTGGTCAGCATGGTGACACAGAGGGTTTTGCCAGCCCTGGAGCCTCCCTGCCATGGTGTTCTTCATAGCATGCATCGGTGGGTCAGCCCCAAGGGAAGGCTCCAGCAAGGCCTTGGGCTCTGCCTGCCGCCCAGAGGATAACCTGGGGGTTCAGTATCTCCACTGGCTGTTACCCCCAAACTGGCATCTGGCCTCTGATCAGCCCCCAAGAGGTGTGGAACCCTGTCTGCCTTGTGGCCAGACCCTGATAACTCTGCAGTTAGAGGTTCATGGTTAGGAGTCAGGCCGCCTGGACTCCTCCCACTACCCACTGTGCCCCAGTGCCTAACCTGCAGACTAGTTACCAGAGCACCTTGCTCACTGGATGGTAGGGGCAGGACAAAGAAATGTGGGAGTCCTGGAGTTTGGCAAGATTATTTTGGTTCCCATTATAAACTGAGGCATGGGGTGGGGGACAGGCAGGGTGGAGCTATCCCGGGAACTTAGGGAGAGCTGGGAGTAGAGCCCCTGTGTGGGGATCGCACCCTGCAGGCCTCCCACTGTGCCCGCTCCTCACCACCAGGCTCAGTGGCCTCGGGGGGGCAGAGGCCTGAATGTTCCCCTGGGTTCCTCACAGTGACCCTGGAGGCCCTCCCCGGGGGCTCGTCAGTTTCCTGGGCAGGACAGCAGGGTTGCTCTCCTAAACTTGGTAGCCGGAGCCCCTCCTGATGTTTCCCCAGGCACGTGCACAGCCTCCCTTCTCTGGTCCTGCTGAGCCCTCCAAAGGTGAAGCCTGTACCCCCAAACTTAAGGAGGAGCAGAACAGCCTAGCTGGGCCACATGGGGATAGCAACAGCCAATGACCCCAAGGCTGCTCCTCAGGCGCCAGGAGCTCTATCCAGCCCTCCCAGGCCGGAAAAGGCTTGGGCCTTCAGCCCAGAGGGCACCGACAAGGGTTGATGCCCCCGAGGGAAGAGGGAAGATGTTCCCATGGCCTGGAGCTGCCCTGGCTTCCTGAGGGCGGTGCAGGGGAGACCTCAGGCCACCACCCCTCTCTGCCCACCACCCCTCCCTAGCCTGCCCTCAATTTTTTCTCTCTTGGGAGGATATGGTTTTCTCAGGCTGAGATGGGAGAGAGTGTGTTCCCAGGGCGGTGGCTAGACTGGCAGGGCTGAGGGGGTTGCTGGGGGAGGTGGGACCACATCTGGCTGTCCAGTCCTAGCAACCGCAGTGCCAAACCTGCTTTCCAGATCCATCTCAGCATGAGGGGGCCTAGTGACCTACCTGCTGAGCCACAGAGCTACCAGGAGCTGGTCCTCAGGGTCAGAGCTGGGCTCTGCACAGCTTGGGAGCAGGTAGCTGGGCCAGGGGGCTGAGAGGCCAGGGGCTACCCCCACCCCTAGACTGTGCCACAGTCCTGGTTGCCTACCCTTCATCCTCCAGCAGGAAGAGTCCCCTCCTCCAGACACCTGGCTGGAGCAGGGCTGGCCCTCACCTGTGTGTGTGTGTGTGTGTGTGTGTGTGTAGGGGGGGGGAGGGTGGACGGTCATCACTCGGGACCTACCCCACTTCAGGCTGGGGCACTAGCAGCTGGTGTGATTTGGGAGAAGAGAGAAATGAACCCAGTGTAAGCATCCAGGCCAAGTGACCTTAGGGCAGTGGTCCATCCTCCTGCTTCTGCTCCACCTAGGCTGCCATGGATTGATGATATAGGGGCCAGTGGTCAGGTCAACTCACCCCTGTGCCGGTGGTAAAACTGCGGCTCAGAGGGACAGGCAGTGAACACCCAGAGTGCTCGTGCATGCTGGCTGCATGGTCTATGCACATGGCATGTTGTGGAAGAAAAGAGGCCCTGTGGTGGCTCTAAGTGGTGCCTGTGGAAAAACAGGTAGGAGACGGGAGGCCCTGCCTCCTCTCTTCTGACACGCTGACTCTCCCTGGGCTGGCCCAGCTCTGTGCCTCCCAGAGCCTAGTTAGGTTACCTTGATTATAATGCAAGAGCCACTGGCTTGTTTTTGTGGGAAAGGACCCAAGAGGTGGCCCAGCCCAGCCCAGCCCTTCTCTTGTCTACATTTCTTTCCAACAGAGCCAGACTCCCCAGGGTGTGGCTGCACCTTCTCACCAGGCTTCTGCGGGGTGGGGGGGTGG